GGCGCGGTGTTTGCCCATTGAAAATTGGGTCTCTCCTTATTCAAGTATCGCAATATACTGACCTTGCGTAACAGTGTTACTTTGGCTTGTATGTACACGACGATTTAAAGGAAACAAACGCTATCGAGATCGATGTGCTTTTGTTATTGATATCGCGAATTTCGAATAGCGAAAGACACGAAAGGAAGTATCAGATTATGCATAAACCTTGGGCTAAAATTTCAATGGTAATACGACTTCATTGCAAAATAAAATTGCAAGATGTCTTTCGTTAGTCTGTCATTATTAAACGATCTCCGAAAGATTGAATTAAATTACAGTAGAATCCGCTTATAATGACATCGGGAATAACGGGAATGGGTGTCGTACTTTCTTCCCGAAAGTTGGAAAACGTCATTATCCTGTTATCCTGTATACACAGATTACATTGTAATGTTAATTTCGAAACCGCATACTATATCGTTACATTTTCCTTTTGTGAAAATAAAAAGTCTAGTTGAATTCTATAACAGTTCTAATCAGAAAACAAACATTTCGTATTGTTAGTATTGTTTGTTAGTCACAGCGCAGCGCCTCGAATTGATGTCATCATCGCTTTTATTAAAAGGTTCTCGTTTGCTTTTGTGATCTCACTGACTTACGGTTGTCGAGAATCCGAATTTTTATGGCATGAATTTTTCATTTTTTCTAGCAACTACGGAGTTAAAATTGACGATGCGATAATGGGAAAAGTATTTCGAATGCTGTTCAAAGACGTTTTTATTTTAAATATACATCTATAAGATAAGCAGAAGCAGTCAGGATACAGAATTCCAAATTTTAACATTACTAATTGTTTTAAATTGTGGAGTACTGTGTAGGTAGTGTATATAATAATGGTAACCACAATCTTAAAGGACACTCACTCCGTTCATGTTGTCTTTTCCTACCGTAATCCCCGGTTACGTTGGGATCGATCATAAGGAAGAAGACAACATGAACGTAGTGGAAATCAACTGCAGTAGACCGCATATTCCCGACTAGAATTTTGAGGGATGTAGTACAGGTCTCTTAAGTGGGTAGACCACTACCCCTTGTGGGCCCCATGAGGTTGCCCCCTAGGGCAAGGAAGGGGCATATCCCGCCTTGCCTTATTTGAATTCATTCAAGGGGATTGTTACCATTTTTTGTAAGTTTTTTCATTTCACCGAGAGTATTTTCAAACGGATTTGTCTCATCGAGCCCCCCATAAGGTACATTTAATTGTAAGTTTTGCCCCTTAAGACCCATTTGAAAAACCCATAAGGCAATCCTCATTTTAGTATCATCACTTTTTTTCATGAGGAGTCTACGGCGAAATCCTTATAACATCATGTCACTCATTAGCCATATGAGGCCTACACGCTAGGTGCAGCATGCCCCTTATAAATTCTAGTCGGGGTAAAGAAAATATTTGTTGGTAGGCAGGAGACTACAGTAGCACCAGTTTTTGTTTATAAATTTAAGAAAATAGGAGTCAAAAATTTGAAAACTACGCCAACTAACATTACAATAATTGTTGTTCAATAACGAACATGTATAATATATTCGTACTGCGTGCTAATTACTATCGGTTCACCCACACCCGCAATCAATTTGCTTACCGAAAAGTACCGTACAAACAAATGTCCCATTTCCTTGCAGTTACGTGATGAACGATGAGTGGTGACATTTCCAATTCAACGAACGTTCATACGTATAACGTATAGAGTAGAGAGCGTCATTGATTCGATTGTACAAATGTTATTAAAATTGTAATCGCATTGTAACTACCTATTCAATGTAATTAGGCACTCTACCTACCTGTTCATGATTTATTGTAATATTCGACATCCATTATCGTCATAATTTGCAGTCAATAAATGGAAAGCGCCTAATTACTAACAAAAATTATACCGCGATAATTTGCAGTAAATCTTTATTGGTAAATTATTATTATTTTTCAATCTGAAGATTATTTGAAATTGAAGATAATTTCGTTGGTTTCATTGGTCATTTATTATTATGTTTTAACAATAGGAAATACTTAGCTCGTCTGTCAAAATAAATTTACAATTTAAAAATTAGGTATTGTCTCCTAAAAATGAGTTCTATCAGATACTTGCACTTCCGGTTGTGTGGAAGTAGATTACTCGGAAAGCTAATTTACCGTAAAAAATTAAACAAACAAAGCGAGCAACAAATATTCTTTTTTACAGGGGAAATTGCTAATTGAAAATAACACGTTTTGTTTTTTTATTCAAATAGTAATAACAGCTAGATGAAACCCTTTACTATTTACCGCCATTAATATTCGATTATTGTCATATTTTAAAAAAATTTGATCAAAGTAAGAGAATTGTTTTCATCGTTTTTGTACATTTAAAAAATACTTTTGTAAATATAATTCCTTTACAATGGAGGTACTTGCTACAATCGTTAATGAAAAGTCATTAAGAAACATGTAACAATAATTAATTAATAAATTATTACATTACAGCGTAAACTTATAGCATTTTTTTATGTTACAATTATTGTTGTGTATGTTACTGTTATCGTACATGCTAAAAATTAAAATGAAAAAATAATTTAACAATCTTTACATTTTCTTTCCATGTTTCTCGTTAATAAACCTAACTTAAAATTTAATAAGGAGAAACAAAATCGTTGTTAAAACAGGAGTACACAAATGAATAGGCATTTGCATATAACAATTAACTTTGTTACTCAACTGTTTATTCATTAATCATTATCTTGTGTATTAATGAAAATTTATTGCGTTTACTTTATTACAAGTAATAAGTGTACTACATACGTACGTAAGATAGTAAATGTATAATTTAATATAAAGTTAAGGTACCTATGTACAATACATATATGACTTACGTTACATATAACACCGGTGTCTAAAATTATGTAGGTAACATGGTGAAAATGCTTCAGACAAGATAACGTGATATTTACGTAAAAAAATTATGTATATACAGGCCTACATTTTATACTATTGTTTGCACATTACATTTTTTTGGATTTTTACGTTTTCCGGTACTGATTTGAGTTTGTAAGGATAATAATTTGATTTGTAGTTGATAATTTATGCAGTTATTTAGGTGAAGGTATTTAACTTTTTATTGAGAAAAATAATTACTCCAAACCACCTGCAGTTTATGTCGGGAAATACCAATCTATCGAGTAGTGTAATTGTAATTATTGCTGTCATTAAATTAATGATATTTGACGAAGAACTTGAACTTTAATATTAATAATTTTTCAGTTGAATGTATCCGATCATCAAGGTGTAATTTATACATTTATTTTATTTCTTTAATTATGTACCGCTTGATTTTTTTACGGCTTCAATGGTAATGTAAAAGTTTGGTACGTTAAAAGCTGATTTAGGAATTACCTCTTTGTATGAGTAGTAGTTTCATATTGGCAAAAATTGATATTACATGACGTAAGCAAAAATACGATGCGCATTTTAAATTGAATTTAGTGTTAAAAATTGTAACAAATGCAGATGTAAAGGTCTTTTTAGTGTACTTTTTATTGCAAATTTCGTCGGAATTGAAATTTTGTTCACGTAAAGGATGTGATGGTAAATGTGAATCCAGCTTATCCTTAATTTCATTGCGTTTTACGTCGCCTCTCGCATGCATGTACATACATGCATGGCGACTCGTCTGAGTGAGCAATTTGTGCTTTGCAAATAAATGTTCTCCTTGACAGGAATCCACTTTCGAGAGTTCTTTCACACGGTGAAAATAGGAGCTCGATACGTTACGTACGCCAGCCCATCAACAACCACCTTAATGTTGCTGTAGTTATAGAACTAATTTTGTCGTTTTTGTTGTATGCTATAATACTAGAGAAGTTTCCCTGCTAGATTTCTTGAAAGTATAGATATTCATTGGTCTGATCGATATATTATTGCGAAAATCGGTTTATATTCACGTTATTTTGTTATAAAAACAGCCTGACACAGGAATTAAGAGATGCATTCGATGTTTCAAGCAATTTCGTCTAAGACATTCGTCTCTCGAATCCGATAGCGATGACGATGACTTGGTAAGGTTTCTAATCTATTTTCACTTTTCATTTCACATAGGTAACTCAGTTTAGGATTGGACAGTATTAAAAAATGACCTATAGGTACATAATATTTTAATGAAATGTAAACTAACGACAAGAATTGTAAATTAAAGACACATCTAGGTGAAAATTGCAATAAATATTAAATAAAAATTCGAATTGGCGATGTCGTAATCAGTAAACATTTGTACCTAGTGGGTAATCTTTATAATAATAATATCTGTTAATAACAAGGAATTTTGCGATTTATAAATAAAATAATCGATCCGTCTAACAGTAAACACTAAATTAATGTCAAAAATTTCAAATTGCTATCAAGTTCTGTGTGACGCATGTATTCCTTTTTCTTTTGTGTTGACGTATGCGTAGATCAAATCCAATACACATCCGGATACTAATAGTCTTTACTGCAGATGTAATCGTTCATAAAGACATACTGAGAAGATCATTGCTTGCTGTATTAGCGTCTGCACTGAATGCCAATGGAAAAACAAAAGTCATCGTTTTCTCGACTTTGCGTTTTGTCCTTGAACTGGGATTCTGTGATGAGAATATAATTTTGCAAACAGAAATAGACAGATTGAAATTAGTATACAGGGAACTACAAAAAAGTAAATGTTACAACGTTAGAAATTGTAAATTGTGCAATTTTTAAAACATGTATTTTCTACGTAAACTCAGAAAGTACTCTGTTAACTTAACTTATTGGTGATTACAAATTTTGGATTGCAATTTTTCCTTATAAAATGTTTCTTATATATATCTTTTTTATATTTATTTTGCTTACTTGTGGAGGTAGCCGGGATATCTGCCGTTTTCCGATTGGGTAAGGCATGGAGTTAATTTTCTAATTTATTAAGTAACTGATTATTATTTCAGTGGTAGTCTAACATTGTCTTTTTTTTTTTTAGGTAATGAACCAAGATGTAAAAAAGGAGAATCCACTTCAGTTCAAATTTCGCGCCAAGTTTTATCCTGAAGACGTCGCTGAAGAACTGATCCAAGACATCACTGTTAGACTATTCTACCTCCAGGTTAAAAATGCCATTCTGTCCGATGAAATATATTGTCCTCCTGAAACTTCCGTCCTGTTAGCTTCATACGCCGTTCAAGCTAGGCATGGAGACTACAACAAAGCATTACACGGACCCGGATTCTTGTCCAACGATAGATTACTTCCTCAAAGGTAAATGTTAATCGAATTTTCGAACGCTAGTCGATTTTTTTTTAACTTGTTTCATCTTCATTTGCAGAGTATTAGATCAGCATAAGATGACTAAGGAGGAATGGGAGAAAAGCATAGTGACTTGGTGGCACGAACATCGCAGAATGCTCCGTGAAGATGCCATGATGGAGTACCTTAAGATCGCCCAAGATCTGGAAATGTATGGAGTTAACTATTTCGAAATTCGCAACAAGAAAGGTACCGAATTGTACCTTGGAGTGGATGCCTTAGGACTCAACATTTACGAAAAAGATGACAGGTAATATAAATCGCATAATTTTCAATTTTTATTGTATTCTTTATTTTATAGACTTACTCCAAAGATCGGGTTCCCCTGGTCGGAAATTAGAAATATTTCTTTCAACGATCGCAAGTTTATAATCAAACCAATTGATAAGAAGGCTCCCGATTTCGTTTTCTTTGCCCCTCGAGTTCGCATTAATAAACGAATTCTTGCCCTCTGCATGGGCAATCACGAATTATACATGCGCAGACGCAAGCCTGATACCATCGACGTGCAACAAATGAAGGCCCAAGCTCGTGAAGAAAAATTAGCCAAACAGCAACAAAGGTAAATAATCGTCACCTATTTATTTATTAGAGTAGTAACTACATAATGTCTTTATTATTTTATCAGGGAGAAGTTGCAACAAGAGATAGCAGCCCGCGAACGTGCTGAAAAGAAACAGCAGGAATATGAAGATAGGATCAAGGCGATGCAGGAGGAGATGGAGCGAAGTCAAGCAAGTCTCATGGAAGCGCAGGAGATGATTAAGAGACTAGAGGAGCAACTCAAGCAGCTGCAGGCTGCCAAGGAAGATTTGGAGAAGAAGCAAATGGAACTCCAAGCGATGATGGAACGGTTGGAGGAAAGCAAAAGTATGGAGGCGGCCGAAAGGCAGAAGCTCGAAGAAGAGATCATGGCCAAGCAACAAGAAGTGTTGCGCATCCAAAGGGAAGTTGAAGAAAAAGATTCCGAAACGCGGCGTCTACAAGAAGAGGTGAATGAGTGTACAACAAAATATTTTTGGCATTAATGTCACAATGTTTATGCTTTATTTTTTAGGTTGAAGCCGCCAGACGTAAAGAGGAGGAACTGAAGGCACAACAAATGGCAAACGCTACGAAGGGTCATCTCCAGGAAGAGAACCACCACGACGAAGACGACGAGATGGTTAACGGTGATATCAGCCGTGACCTAGACACCGATGAAAACATCGTTGACCCTATCAACGAGAGGCGGACGTTGGCTGAACGTAACGAACGTCTTCAAGATCAACTACTAGTAAGTCTTTGAATTTTAAAAACTAGCATAGATTGTTGTTTTTTTTTTGGTTGGAAATTACACCTTTAACCTCTTACCTAATTTTTAAATTAAATTACATGTTATGAGGTATTTACAATTAATCTTTTATGCGGACACACTTTATTGTTTTTGTCTCCTTGGAAATAAAATGTTATTGTAGCTTCCACATAAAACCTTAATAACTATTCCTAAGGCACGTTTATTCAAAATGATTTTTTCAGCCAAAAAATTACATGAAATTTTGTGAATTATTAACTTAAACATTTTTGTCTTTTCGGTTAATTAATTTCTTTTGATATCAAATTTTATCTAGGCATTAAAACAAGACTTGGCACAGTCGCGAGATGAGACTAAGGAAACTGCAATGGATAAGATCCATAGGGAAAATGTTCGTCAAGGACGAGACAAGTACAAGACTCTTCGTGAAATTCGTAAGGGTAACACGAAACGTCGCGTGGACCAGTTCGAGAATATGTAAATTGATAAGAAGGTGCAACGCAACATCCCCCGCATTCGCCCACACCAAGTAACAACCTTTCTCCCTCCTCAGTTTCTCCTTCCCCATTCATCATTGCAACTGCATACAGCAAGTAACTTCAGTCTTTATTACTTTTCCTTTTTTATTTTGTTTTAATTACTAGTATAAGAATTTCTTTGATCCTTTTCCAACGGTGACAGTAATTGATGTTACTGTTGTAAGTCCAAAATAAACGGTAGCGTCTTTTTCATAGAGTATTTAGTAAGAAAAACTGAACGGGGCCTTATTTTTCGATCTAACATCAACGCAATTATATACGTGGATGCATAACATAAATAATTATTAGTTACTACTACTTACATAATATGGTAGTGTTATTACTTAATTAATATATATACAATCTCGAAAGCTTTGGTTTTTGAACGACGATAATGATTATATAGGTGACGTTAGCGGTCGTTATCAGGCATTCCATTTCCATCTTAGCAATTATATTATTAACGGCTTGATTCATCAATTATGTTATATATATATATTCATATATACTACATATACATATATGTTGTATTATAATTGATATTCGGCGTCATCTTTTTTCCTGTTTTTTTTTTCGTGATTTTCTTTTTGACAGCGTGTGCCATTTTCGGAATTGGGTACAAGTAGAATGCGAGAACGGAATTGCGCGTGCTCAAAGACTGTGTAATACCCTCGAAGAGAGAAATTTCAAAAAACTGAGAAATGAGACATTTATCTAAAAGTTGTATTAGAAATTTATCTTTCAGAGAAGCTATCGATATTTTTGGTCAGACACTTTTAAAATTATTTTATCAACTACTTATTATAATGTTAACGTGAGTTTTAACGGTGTTTTATATTAATTTTTGTAACTCTTGATTTTATGGTAAAAATGATAGAAGTACAATGGTTCTCATTTTTCGCTCATTTTTGAAATTTTAGTATTCTAGGGCCGAAACTTTGACATTCATTAACAACTAATTTTCAGTCATCGTACACTCAAAAATTTGCTCATTCGAACTCGGTAGATTTTTCTATCAAAAGTAAAAAAGAACTTTTATTCTTATTGCATATTTATTTTAAACGTTATTAAAAAACGTACTTGTTTCCGTTTACAGTCATTTGTTAAGAGCTTGTTGTAGGTTATAACGTATTATCGCTCTTATTGCATTTTCTATTTTTTAAACACATGTTACTTAAAACTACTTATCTATTTATCGTTAAGCATATATTATACTCAGCCTGTTATAAACCGCGGGTGCTTTCCCTTCCCTCCCCCTGACACGTGTAAATAAGACGGTCGCAGTCCGAAACGATCGGAAGAACGCACGTGCGGTGTCTTCCTCCTTATAGTCCGGTCGTTTTAACAAGTGACAAGCGGGGTCGGTTTGTCGGTCCAAACAAGTAATCTTTTTGTAAATAATATTACTTACCGTTGTTGCCTTCTTTTTTATAGAAATTAGGATTGGATACGATGATAATTAACGTAACACAAATCACATACAATTAATTACTTGGCAATCTCCACTTTAATAAATACGATTATTATTCTTACTATTATGATTATTATTTTGTTGTAATAATTTTGTTTGTTATTAAATTTGCGCGGCAAAAGGAGATACCTATGCGATAAAATAAATATTAATGGTTTGGTTTCATTCATTTGATAATGAAAATTATAAAAAACGCATAACGTTTACATTTTTCAAAATAATTTGTTGTTACAATGAAGTAAATAGAAAATGTTGAAATCATTTTGCAACAGTTGCTGCCGCAATTAATGTTTTTTTTTTTTGTAAATTTCTTATGCAGCTTCTAAAAAGAAAAGTAGTATTTTTCTCTTATTAATAGTATTATTATACATTTCTTTTATAGTTGCATTTATTTGTATTCAGAGGTTAGTTGTATGAATATTGAGTTTATTATACAAGTATTTAGGGTAAAAAAAATAAAATTCCCGAAAAACTACATGTTCACCTTTTTTTTATTTTTTTTTTTTAATGTCTAATATGTATATGTAGTATTTTCTACATGATTTCAGCCGCCCAGTGACTAAGGTAAGTCAGAGGGTAGAAATGTGTGCATGAATAAAATGTGTTTGTTAAAAAAAGCTTTTCTTCTGATTATCATAGGTTTCCTTCTTCATGCTTGTTTTTTAGGTATTCAACAACACATGGGTTGCCGATATACTAACAATTATTATTTTAGAAGGTATTAAAGTGCCTTTGTAATTTATTATCTAAGGTAAAATTGATAATTCGTTAATTCTATTCGTGGAATATTTTTTTAACACGGAATTGTATTTTATCACATATGTATTTTACTATTTCTATTATAATTAGTATGGTGGGTGATGTCATTTGAAACGGTTGTATAGGAACTTATCTATCGTTATGATAAATAAATTTAATTGGAAAGTACGACACCTTGTTCCCAGATTAAGAAATCGTTGTATTTCACATTGAAACTTTATTTTTCTTTAAAAAGTTTCAATTAGAAAAATATGCTCGTGTTCAACCGGGGATCGTGCAGGATAACGTATTTTTTAGTTATTTTTATGTACATAATATACTTTCGTGTGATATGTAATTGTTTTATACAATACTAGTTCCCATATCAAACTTATCAATACCTTATCAACATAGTTAAAGCAAGCTATCAATTTGTAATCGATGTTGCGTGACTAAAGACTAAAAACTCGAGCAGTTGGTGGAGTCTATCAAAGTGTGTTGATATTATTTTTAGTTTTTTAAAATATTTATTTACAAATTTGAAAAATGGCGAAGATGGTAAGCTGTTTATTTTATTTGTCATTTTTTCCATTAAGATTATTGACTTCAAAATTTTTAACATTAACAAAAAAAATATGACTTGATTAACATAACGTAAGGGTATAGTTATTGTGCTCGTATATTCTATAATTTTAATTTGTTATTCCATTACCTTCAATGTGGTAAACGTAGCTTATTATTATGAACATACTCAACTGTTTATTCATTAATCATTATCTTGTGTATTAATGAAAATTTATTGCGTTTACTTTATTACAAGTAATAAGTGTACTACATACGTACNATTAACAAAAAAAATATGACTTGATTAACATAACGTAAGGGTATAGTTATTGTGCTCGTATATTCTATAATTTTAATTTGTTATTCCATTACCTTCAATGTGGTAAACGTAGCTTATTATTATGAACATTATCGTTTACTTAGTACGTACAGCGCGTTAGTATGACTCAGGGTTAAATAACTGTTGATCTTGATAACGATGAGATTTATGCGTAGGTGAAAATTGTAGGGGTGACGTTTTGAAGAAATTCTATTAATGCTTAACTTTAAGGTAACGATAAAAGTGACCACAATGGATACAGAACTCGAATTTGCTTCGCCGGCGAAAACTCGAACTGTGGATCTCTTCTATCAGATCAGCAAGAATATAAGTATAAGAGAAGTTTGGTTTTTTGGTCTTGTGTACCAATCTTCTGAGGGCGAAGAAGTTTGGATTGACGGTTCGAAAAAGGTATCCATATAAGTTCCAAATCTTTTTTATTACTAAATGGCAAGGTGCTAATTGTAGACTTTTATAGCCAATTAAAGCTTATGCAAGTCGTGCACTTAGTCTGCGGTATCGAATTAAATACTATCCTGAGGACGTATCTCAAGAACTCGTAGAAGATATTACCATAAGATATTTCTTTTTACAAGTGCGATCTGCCATTCTTTCGGACAAAATTTATAGTCCTCCTGAAACGTGCGTTTTACTTGCGTCTTACGCCGCGCAAGCTCGTTATGGAGATTATAATAGCAGAAAGAAAAAAAAAGAATTGTCTAAAGAAAAGCTGTTGCCTGAAAGGTACATATATCGTTGTACGTTAATTATATGATTGAACTTGTTAATTAATATCAGTTGTTTTTATTAGAGTTTTCAATCAATTTAGTATGGATCGTGATGATTGGGAACATAATATTGTGGTGTTATGGGAAAAACATTATGGTATGTTACAAGAAGATGCAATGTTGGAATATCTGAAGATTGCACAAAATTTAGACATGTACGGCGTCTCTTACTTCGAAATACATAATAAGAAGGGCACGAAACTTCTTCTAGGAGTCACTGCTCTCGGTTTAAATATTTACAAATTGGAAGACAAGTACGTCGTAGAAACAGTCAAAACGGTGTCGTGTGTATAAATTCACTATAATTATTTTAGGCTGAATCCAATTATAGCGTTTCCATGGTCAGAAATTAAAAACATTAACTTCAGAGATAAAAAATTTACAATTAAGTCTATCGATCGTGATTCTAAAGATTTCATATTTTTCTCTCATGATGCCAAGATAAACAAACGCATCCTGAATTTAAGTATTGGTAATCATTCATTGTACGTGAGGAGAAGAAAACCTGACACTTTAGAAGTTATGCAAATGAAAGCTAAAGCTGCAGAACTGAAAAAGCAGAGGCTTGAACAAAGGTATATATTTCCTTACCATATACCTTATATAAATGTAAGATAAACAAACATAAATATTCTTTAGACAAGCGTTTGAAGAGGAACGTTTGGCTCTCGAAAAGGCATTAAAACGGGAGAGTCAGTACATAGAAGAAATTCAAAACCTCAGGTCACAGATGAACGACACTAAAAGGAAATTGGAAGAGGCTCAAAATATAATACAGAAGTTACAGGAACAGTTGACACTACTTCAACGAGCCAAAGATCAGCTTGAACAGCAGCAATGGGAGTTGAAAGAGATGATGGAACGATTGGAACAAACAAAGAATATGGAGGAGGCCGAAAAGAGACGTCTAGAAGCCGAGATCGACGCTAAAAGACTGGAAGTGTTGGAAAAGCAAAGGGAAGTTGAGTTAAAGGACATGGAAGCAAAGAGACTGGAAAGGGAAGTTGAGGAAGCTAAGAGGAAAGAAGAGGAGTTAAGGGCTCTTAGAGAAGAAGAAAATGCGAAGAGGAAAGAAGGAGAGTTAGAGACGTTACCAAACGGAGTCGATCACAGTTTGCCGTCCATGGTGAAAGTTAATCAACAACTAGTAGAACAGTTAAAGGTAAGTTAAAAATGTTTATTTTAAAATAATCTTGTTTCACTTATTAGAAAGCAGAGCTTTCGCTTAAACATGAAGATAAATATAATCAAGATCAATATAACAATCATTTTAGGCTCTTAAAACTCAATTAATGGAAACAAAAGATGATAGTAAGGAAACGCACTTAGATCGTATACATAGAGAGAATGTGCGTCAAGGTAGAGACAAATATAAAACGTTAAACGAAATTCGAAAAGGGAACACTGTTAGGAGGGTTGACATGTTTGAGAATTTATAGTACACATCACAATTATTTAATTTAGAAGTAAAAAACGGGCCTTTAATACTTATGAGGAGATAAATGATAATTATTATCCCAATAGTGAAAATTATGTGCAATATGAACTTTTAAATTATTTAAGATTGATTAGAGTTTCTCACTTCTTATCCATAAATTAATCTATTGGGGATTTCCTAAAATAACGTAAAAATTACTTTAAACTTAAACACTCACTTACTGTATTTATTTTCATCAAACAAATACATAAATGTTTTTTAGGTTTTTTTTTTACTGTTGCTGTTGTGTGCAAATGTTCACATGAATATCTCAATTTCCTTTATCTGTGCAATTAGTTATTTGATATAGGATTAGTATAATGGCCCAATAGCAGTGAATGTTTCGAAAAAAAAATTATTTGTATTTGCATATAATTATTAGCTTGATTTTTATTAAATGGTGGGTATGAAAGAGTTTTTGCGCTTGTACAAGTTACAGAGAAGACTAAAAACAACTGCACGGTGAGGTAGGATGTACATCAAATAACATTATCGTACTTTACTGCTATGAACGCTATTTGATGTAAATCATATTAAGCCTCAGGTAAAGTTTAGGTTTTATAGTCTTCTTCCGATAAGATCCAAAATTTCATTTGTTTGGCTTAAAAATATACTCTGTAATTAGGAGTATTAATGGGATATTTGAACAAATGTGTAATTAGTTAAAACAATGAAAATTAAACTTCTTTATATTTATAAATTTTGCCGTTTTTGAACTGTTGATTTTGCAATATAAAAAGTATTAATTTTCAGTTAGTAATATTTAGTTGCTATAAGTTTGCGAACTTTATCGGTAAACGTTTAGTTGGTAATGGGTAAGCTGTAATAGTTTTGACCATAGATAATAGGTTTTGACAGCCTACATCAGGTGTTTGACACAATAAGTTTGGTGGTGATTTCATGAAGATTTGCAAGTACAAAGAAATTGGAAACACTTTGTGTAATAAGTCATTAAAATGGAAATAAAAGATGAAAAACAATTGTTACAATGCTACAACAGAGGATGTGGTCAGCAGTATGATCCTTTAAACAATAAGGAAGGTAGGAAGTGTTTAAGGTTATGTGGTGTATACGTTATAATTTTCTAGAATTGGAGAATTATAAAATTATATACGCACAACTAACATTTACTAAATATGCTATTATATAATTTTATTTGATTATAGATTCCTGCCGTCATCACCCAGGATCTCCTTTCTTTCATGATGCATACAAGGGATGGTCCTGTTGTAGCAAGAAGTGTACCGATTTTACAGAGTTTTTAAATATTAAAGGTTGTACTTTGAGTAGACATTCAAACATTAAACCCCCGGAACCTGAGAAGCCTGTAAAAAATAATGTCAATAGTAATGAAGTTATAGAAGTAAAGCCTGTTGTAACTCCAAAGTTACAAAGGCCTCCATTTGAATCACACTTGGTGAGTGTTGCTATTGGATGATTCTTAACTGTCAGTAGTTGTTTTACTCTGGTAACTACAATGATTTGGTATTTATAGAGTATTGTAGTTCCGGAAATTTCACCATCTTTTAAACAACAATTAAAAATAAATAAGGGTAAATCTACAGTTGTGACTGAAACAGAAAAATTTGAAGGAATCTTAGTAGGAACCAATTGTAAAAATGGAGGTTGTAGTGCCACATATGAGGGACCTTCAACGGATGAAACAGTTTGCATTTTTCATTCTGGAGTGCCTATATTCCATGAAGGAATGAAGTACTGGTCTTGTTGTCAGCGAAAAACTAGTGACTTTACTGCTTTCTTGAGCCAAGAAGGCTGTGAAAGAGGAAACCATAAATGGATAAAAGAATCGGTAAGCTACTTCAAAAATGTATTTTTTCAGTAGATGTATATGATTGGATAAAATTAATCTCTTTTGCCATTAGGACAAGGATCCAAAATGTGTAAACTGTAGATGGGATTGGCATCAAACAGGATCTCATGTAATTGTTACCATTTATGCCAAGGATTATTGCCCTGATGAAAGTTTTGTAAAACTGAACCCAATTAGGTTACAGGCTTCCCTTGTGTTTCCTTCTCAAAATAGTGCATCTTTTAATATCGATTTAGAACTCAGAGGTGTAAGTATCTTTATTACTGACATCAAAAACAAAAAATGTTGAATATATTGAATCGAATCGAATAACAGGATTATAACTTACTTTATACTTTCCCAATTAGCATTGTCCGAATGAATTACTGTAGTAATTTGCTTTTTGTTTTAGGTAATAAAAGTTGATGAAAGTACAGTGTCAATGTATGGTACCAAAGTTGAAATAAAACTTAAAAAGGCAGAGCCAGGGTTATGGAGTAAATTGGACTTTGCAAAAAAGGAGTTGCCAGAAAGTGTTGATGAGAAAGATGACAAAAAAAATGAAGATAAAATAGTTAGTCAAATAGATGCTGTAAATTTGGAAGACATTTAAAATATAATTTTCTTAATGTAAGTATAATAAAGCATAACTGCCTACAGGTATTAATTATCTTCAGCAGCAGCATCCACATAAACATAACTATGGAAAATGTTTATTTTGCATGCAGTTATTCTTTCCTATATTTTCTTGTTTTTGAATAAATAGTAAATTCAATTGTAAAAATACACAAAATACAACACTCTGTAATTATTGTCTAACCTTTGCATTGTACAAAGGGATGCAGTGTGTATTTTTTTGCATTGTAATTTAAAAAATCACTATAATGAAGAGAAAATAAAGGATTGTATTCCGTTGAGGCAATAAAGAATAAACAATTGTTTTTCTGAACATAAAAGGTAAGTAAGGTACTTTTTGAATGGTAAATAAATAATTTTTTAACAGGTCGAAAGATACGAGCGCTCTTTTGTTTGTAGAATTTTTGCGTATTCTTCGTATTATACCATTTAAATCCTTTTATTTTAAGACGCATTCAAAAAGTGTTACCGCAACGAATTTCTTTACATCTTTTTATATTTGCTTCACAATTAATTTTTAGGATAATTGTTTATCACATCGAAAGTTTATGAGCGCTTTTGTATTACAATTTTTGCGTATTTTTCCTATTATGTTATTCAAAGCAAATCCTATAATGATAGCAAATACCCACAGATGGCGATACACCGACTACATTTGAAAGATGCATGTTATAGACATTGAGACAAAACGAAAGCGAGTACGTTAGGAAGTGATTCTACCAAATTGCCCCGGTGACTTTAACGATAAGAATGTAGCAGAGTTCCAGGTTAGTTTCAATTATTTTATTCTGGATTTTAAATCTGCGTACTACATTACTACAAGTGTGCTTGTTTTCGAAAATCTATATAAATAATATGACAACTAGGTCTGTCGATTTGCGCGCATCAGGCAATAAGTACTGAATAATTGTTTTATTCTTTAAATCAGGACTTCTCAAACTTTAATCTTTCATGACCCCATTTATGATTGCGAGTTTCCTGGCGACCCCATGTAAATATAAAAGAAAGATAAATAGTTTGTGTGCAGGTGTGTGAGTGTGACTGCAGAAATATACATCTAGATATTATAAAATCGTGTATCTAAATATTTGACATTAAAATCTCTCTCGACTCCAGGATTTTGATATTTAAAAAGGCCTGCTTTAGTTGCATTAGGTCTATTTCTACAATAATTATCGCGATATTGGTGGTCCTAGTTATGCACATTCTGTTTCCACTAAGAAAAGTATCGCGTATGCAACCCTATAAACACCACTGTAAATCGGATTGCATATACGTGTGCAAGTTTTAAATAAAATCTATGATAGTGTCAATGTCGAATTATTATCAATGGTCGTGTTGTTTATTTCATTCAATTTAAATTAGTTCGCGTCTTATTGCATGTTGGTGCTTGTTTATTTCATATATTATTATATTTAAAATAATTTCGCGTCTCGTATTGCGGTAATAAGTGCTCCTGTACTTCGGTTGCTCTAGTTTCAGTGACTGGGAATATTTTGCAGTGAATTAAGGTAGATNAAATAATTTCGCGTCTCGTATTGCGGTAATAAGTGCTCCTGTACTTCGGTTGCTCTAGTTTCAGTGACTGGGAATATTTTGCAGTGAATTAAGGTAGATTTATTAATTCGGATATCTGACAAAAGAAACATTTTTCGGTATTTGTTGCAAGTGTTATAGCACGCAAATTTCTTAAAATTCATTTCTCAGATTTTAATAATTTTGTTTGAAGGGGACGGGGACAAAATGTCTTCAATCAGATTTTTTGCAAGGGTGTTGTCTACCCTTCCTCTTGAACCTAAAATTTTGCATTTTCTGGTAGTAAGAATCGCAGGTGTAATAATATGCATGATATTCAAAATTCATTTCTCATTGATTGATTTTGATATTTTTGTTTGAGAGGGACGAGGACAAAATGTGTAGTCAGATTTTTTTCACTCTTATTTCCCTGTTACCAATGAAAAATTTTATCTGTTAATTAGTATAAAATTTCACCATAAATGAAATTTTAACCGGATTGCCTTAAAAAGTTTTTTTATTGGTGATTCATTATTGTTTTAAATTTAAAGCAATTCGTATCTGTTAGAAATACTTTAAAGGCTTTCATAATTACGCGTCGAAGGCGCCACCAGTATCTTGAAACGAAAGCGCGGTGGTACCGTAAGTTCGTAGGTCAGTTAGTAGAATGTACGCATAATCGTTAGGAGGTGGTTACGTAATATAATTACTGGCACGTTTTCGTCGCAATAATTAAATTGTGTTTTGATTAAATTACTTCCAAAACCGTGTTTTTAAGGATTATAACATCACTTATTACAGGATATTCAATTCGCAATCACTTTTGTCGTATATTTTCATTCGGTAAGTCCTTTATCAATAATAATAAAAAGGATATTTTTAAAACTCAATGTATTTTACTCAAAATATACTGTAGAATAAATTTAAAATTTCAGTATTGGTTTAAAAATTTAACGTTTTACCTGCAATTTCATATATATTAATTACTTATTGCTCTGTTGCTTGTGATTTTCAACAAATGCATTTGCACTTTTATATTATTTGAACTCTTGCCGTATTAAATATTGATGAGTTTTTAGCATAAAGGGGTATTTAAATGATTCATCTAAAATGTTAATTTACAGGTTTTGAAGTTTATTTTGAATTTCTCAATTGTTAAAGAAGCGCTTATAAAATTGGAACATTTTTGACGCATTTTGAAAGTTTATTTTGAAATTTTTTATAAAAAGGCACACTTAAAGTTAAATTTCTTTTATTATTAATTATTAGCTTTTATTATGTTTTATATTTACAAGGTGCATTTACAGTTACTCTATACATATAAATTTTACAGTCTTTAAACATTTTTATCCTTCTCGCCTTTACGCATGATATTTTCCTCCGCCACAAGATTTCCATAATCCTTTCCTTCTATTTGAATTTCCTATTTTTTTTGTACCATTTCATGTTATTCCACATCTCTTAAAAACATGTTCAAGCGTCACTGGCTCATTTACACATCCTTCATATTTTCTTCCCTTCTTTCCAATACCTTACTGTGCTATTCTCATTTTCCAGTCTAAAATTTTCCGGTAAGACTAATTCGTTTTTCTCTCTTTGCTTTGTCTTTCGAGTAGTTCCATATTTTCTTAAATTCCTGTGGGAATTTTTTCTTATATCAATGTCTTTAGCTAAACTTTCCAGCTCTTTCCATACACTCCTATTTTTTTCAGTTCTCCCTTCTGTTAAAAAAGTTCTCTTTTCCATTTCCATCCTTCCCTTGTGATTTTCTTTTCTACGGTTTGAATATTTAATATATTATCCTTAACTTTCACGCATTCTTTTAATATCATATTGTTATCTGAACTTAATACTTTCTTCGTACGTTAAAGCTACTGTTTCTAAACTTAAAATCCGTCTTACATACATATTTATCTGTGTTGAATTTTTTCAAATTTCTGTTTTGTTTCTTTCTTCCTACCCCATATTTCCACTTTCTACCAATGCCTCAAATAGAAGCATCCTCCCTTTGAAATTTCTTTGTCCTTTTTCCCGTACCTTTCCCATTATCCCTAATTCTTTTATCTTCAGATTTTCCATCTACTCCAATATTTTTTACAATACGAATCCTAGGTAATTAAACTTCTGTAACTTCTTCGATTGTTTTTTCTTCCCATTGGAAATCTAGTTTTTCTTTTCTTTTCCCTGATTTTCCTCTTACCTTATCTCTATGTAATTCCAGCCCTCTTTCTATTATATGTTTATTGAATATTTGAAGTATTTATTTCAGTCCTTTTTCGTTGTTCCCTATTCTCCTTTTATTTTTTTCTAAGTCTGCAAGCATTGGCATCAAATTTTAGCATCTTATCTGTTATATATATTAATTACTTATTGCTGTGTTGCTTGTGATTTT